GGAATCATATTTGTAGCATTGCTTGTATCGATACTCATCAATGGTTGTGGGTGTGTATTTAAAGTTTGATCTGGTGTATTTCGTGTATTGTTGACACGAATATCATTCGGTTCATAAAATGGTTTAAGTCGATCAATGTTGGCGACTCCTAAATTAACTCCGTCAGAGAGACGCTGAATAATAAAAGAAGAGGGAGTAAGAACTTGAGTGATGCGACAAGGACCTTGATACTGAGGATCAAGTTTTCCATGTTGTAATACTGAAGGAATGCTAACCCAAACAAGTTGTCCTTCTTTAAAAGAACGTTTAGAACTATGACTGTCATACTGATGTTTCTGCTGAAATTTGCGTACTTCACTATGTTCTTGAGCAAATTGATGAGATGTAAGTAATTGATGACGAAGTTCTTGTTTATAATTTTCGATTTTTGAGGATAGAGATGTGGGAAGTAGAGGTACATCATGAGTCGGTGTGGTTAGGAGTAGATGTGGAGGTAATTTAGGATCACGTCCAAAATTGAGATATGCTGGTGTATCACCTGTTGTTTCATTTACTGAAGTTCGAATAGAAAAAGCAAGTTTCGATAGATGTTGATCCCATGATTGTGGATTTTCTTGAGCATATTGTGCTAACATTGGTTTAAGATTTCTATTGACTCGTTCAGTCATATTTGTCTGCGGATGATAATTAGAAGTATTTTTATTTTTAATGCCTAGGGACGAACATATATTAGTGAATAGTTCAGAAATGAACTGGGGACCATTATCGGAAAGAATATAGGTAGGACAACCCCAACGACATATAATTTCATTAACTAGGATATTAGCGATATCAGATGAAGTCGTTGTTCTAAGAGGAAATAGTTCTACCCATCGAGTAAAATAGTCAACAACGACCAGTAAGTATTGTTTTTGACGTTGTGTAATAGAAAACGGTCCCATAATATCCACTCCAATAGTATGCCATGGTTCTCGAACGATGTGCATTTGTAATGGAGAGTTCATTATTTGATTAGAATATTTGAATTTCTGACATGACTGACAACTTTGAATATACTGAGTGACATCTTTTCGCATAGTATCCCAGTAGACTCGGCTTGAGAGACGATAAAGAGTTTTTTCTCTACCACTATGTCCGACTGTCGGATGATCATGTGTCCAAGATAGGAGTTCTTGTTGCATAGTTTTCGGAATAACGAGTAAGTGAGGAAGTCCGACTGATCGTTGATAGATATTTTTTGATGGAGATCGACATTTATAGAGAATACCGTTAATTAGAGTAAAAGAGGGATAGAGATTATTAATGAAGGGATGACTGAGACCTGATAATTTATCAATGATAATATGAAGGTGAGGGTCTTTATATTGTTCGATTCGGATATTTTCGAGGAGAGTACAATTATCCCAAAAATTGAGTGTAGATATAGGTGTTGTTCCATTTAACACAGCTAGATTAGAGAGAGGATAACGAGATAATGAATCAGAGTTTGTATTTGTTTTTCCTGGTTTATATTTGATGCTAACAATGTTAAATGCTGATAGACTTATTGCCCATCGAGCTAATCGTCCAGACGAATCTTTTGTTTCAAGAAGCCATTGTAGTGCCCTACAATCAGATCGAATATAGCTTTTTGTACCTTCTAAATAGGGCCGAAAATGTTTGGTGGCCCAATAAATAGCTAGAGCTTCTTTTTCTGTAGGAAAATAATTTCTCTCAGCTGTTGTTTGAGTTCGGCTAGCGTAAGCGATAACAAATTTTTTATTATCATATTCTTGAGTAAGGACAGCACCAAGACCATAATCACAGGCATCTGTTTCCAAAATGAAAGGTTCATTAAAATTTGGAGCTCGAAGTATAGGAGCCTGAGTAAGTGCAGTTTTTAATCGTTCAAAGGCTATAGTACATTCAACAGACCATTCTATGTTATTTGGTGGACGTTTAGATTTTTGATGAGAACGTATTTTAGCGTAATCTTTTATAAATTTTCTGTAGTATCCAGTTAAGCCTAAAAATGATTGAATGTCTTTTAATCGTGTAGGTTGAGGAAAAAGTTTCACGGAGTCGATTAGACCGGGATCAGGTTTAATACCGTCAGGAGTAATAATATGTCCTAAGTACTTTAATTCTTTTCTACAAAAATCACATTTTGAGGCTTTATGAGTAAGTCCAGCAGTTTTGAGACGATCAAAGACAGAGGATAAATCTTTAAGATGTTGTTCAAAGGTGGAAGAGAATACGACAATATCATCTATATAGACAAGACATGACTGCCATTTTATACCAGCTAAGATAAGATCCATTAATCTCTGAAATGTGGCAGGAGCATTAGACAGTCCAAAAGGCATGACTAAAAATTCATAGAGGCCGCGATGAGTAATAAACGCTGCTTTCCTGAATGAATCAAGGGTATCGTCAACTTGAGGCATAGGATATGCTGTACAAATTGTATTAGCATTCAACTTTCGATAATCAACACAAAATCTGAGTGTACCATCTTTTTTAGGGGATAATACGATTGGAGATGCCCAAGGACTATGTGAAGGAGTAATATGACCAGCTTGGAGCATCTCTTCTAGTTGTTGATCGACTATAGCTTTTTTAGATGGGGGGAGACGATATGGTTGAGTGTTTGCGGATTGTATTCCTGGTTGAAGTTCGATTATGTGTTTAACAAGATGAGTCCGACCAAGTTTCTCGGTGAAAACTTGTGGATATTGTTTAATAAGTGTAACTAGTTTAGCTTTTTGAATATCGTTTAAGTCAGAATAGGATAAATCAGGGAGACATATTTGTTCTTCTTCAATAGGATGAGGTGTATGAGATAATCTTGATAAGCTATTCAATTGATGTTCAGTCAATAGTTCCATAACGGCTAGTTTTTGTTGAGGATGAACCTCGGTAGAATCATGAGAAAAATTTGAGATTTCAATAAAAAGTGATTTACTTGGTGAGATAAGACCATTGCCTACACGAGGATTTTCATGAAGTGAAGAAACGGAATATGTTTCATCTGGAGAAAATTTAGAGAATGGTTTCGTAGGTTGAACAGGGATAATCATAGAGTGGTATGGAGGTAAAGAATGTGCTTCAATAGCTGCTAAAGAGTATGATGACGAATTGGAAGAGGTAAGAGAAGAAGTGTTATACTGATCGAGAGATGGCGATTGAGATGCAAAAGAATTTGTATCTTGTGACTGCTTCGGAAAAATAATTTGATCGTGTGTACCGCCGACATGAATATCATGTTTCCGTAAAAAATCCAAGCCGATGATACAGAAATGTTCAATTCGAAGAGACCGTGTGTACGTAAAGATTGTCCATTAGCACAACGTACTGTTAGGGATGGAGATTTAATAGGGATAAGTTTGCATGACTTTTGCTCGATTTGATGAAATGCCTCAACACTAAGTACAGTTAAATTCGAGCCAGTGTCAATAGTAAATTTTGTTGGGTACCCTTCTAATGTACCCATTGACATGTAATAGTTGGGAAGAAGAAATGAAAGAATTATGGATAGAACTAATAGAGAGAGAGAGAGAGGATTTTCTATTTAGATAATTTTCGGAGCCCCGCCACCTTCCATCAGTAAGACTCCGTCTTAGTTTTTTGAATTTGAAGGATATCTGGAAGATTGAGTACGAGTACATTGGGATGCTAAATGTCCTGGAATATTACATTTATAGCAGTTAATATGAGATTGACAAGAATTAGATGTGTGGGAGCGAGTTGACGAATGAAGAGTAGCTGAAATAGTAGTATTAGATTTTTCAATATGCACATTTTTTTTTTGGAACGGGAAAAATCAATAAGTTCAGCTTCTCGGGCTCGCTCAAGAAAATTTTCAAGAGTAGGATCGCTAATGCAGGTCGAATTTTAGTAAAAAGGTGTCAAACAAGATGGCGCTCCGTTTCGTTCGGTTTATGTTCTGACCAAAGACTGTGTAAACGAACGAGAAATTCGTTGATTGATTCATCAGGTCGTTGAATGCATCTATTCCATTCTTGCTCGATTTGAGTACACAACTCAAAAGCAGCACCTTTTAAAAATTGGCCCATATTTTGACGTAACATTTCTTTGTCCCATCCATAAGATGAGTTGGTATATTGATGGAGTTGTAAGAGGAGGAATGGACGTAGTTTTTCTTCAGTTTTGCCTGAAAAAGAAGGAGCTATTGTAGGTTGTTGGATGATGACTGTTTGTCGTGCAGAGAGAGAGAGTAAGGTGTCTTGTGGAGAAGGACCATTTAGTAAAGAATGAGAGTGTATGGAGTTATTAGAAGAAGAGGGAGGTAATGGAGTTGTTGGAGAGGGTACGGATGGGGAAGGACGAACAGCAGCAAGTGTTGCACGAATTTCAGCCGTTAATTCGAATATTTGTGTAGAAACATAAGTACGAAAGTCCTGAAATTGAGTATCTAGGTGTTTGAATCGTGTCATCTAATTGCTGATATTTTAATTCATGAACCCGTGGAGAGATGATTTACTTTCTCATTGAAATTCTGTTCGAATTGAGTTACTGTGGACTGTACGGTGGTCAACTGGGTTTCGATAGAAGTTGTGCGTGTTGCTTCAAGTTGTAGTTCATCTCGAAGACTAGTGAGATATTTATGTAATTTCTACCCGTCAGATTTGGTCATAGTTAAAATAGAATCGTGCTAACGTAAGACAGAAAAATAGAAGACTACTACTAATAATTAGTAAAAAGAAAAGAAAAGAAAACCAAAGAACAAGATGAAAAATTTTAAAAAAAAGAAAATAATGTGCTGAAGTGAAGGGAAAAATGTAACCAAAATTCGATTGGTGTGATCGGCAGGTTGTGATGGAACGACTCACTCGTTCTAAGATTATTTCAATAATGAATAACGATAATATATGAACGCAATATATATATATTCCAGCAGAGAGAAAAACGAGAGAGAATGATTAATGAATAGAACATTAAGAGTAGTGACGGGTAGAATCCGTCACAATGGTCCGATGAAAATAATCGACCTAAAGAATGACAACAGATTAAAAAAATAATATAAATTGTGGATCGCTTCATTTCAATGTAGATACATGAGGTGGATTGAATTTTCTCTGTGCCTGTTTTTTTTTATTCTACGTAGTCTAGTTATATAAGAATGAAAAAAAAGCATTCATTCGTTAGAATATTTTTATTGTCAATAGTATCACTTGTTTTCTATATATATATTAGTAGAACAGAGCGAAATATATTCTACGCTATAAGATATAAAGAAAATATTTAATGACTGTGTGCGAATATAAATTTTTTGATTTTAATTAAATAATTTCAAAAAAAAAAACCATAAATAGTGATTGAACAAAAATGTCAAGTTTGAGTATATTTTTTCGACTGTAAGAATTTTTTAAAGCTATATTGATTTAAAATAATTTATGCTGAGTTACAATGAGTTAACAGCTGATTTAAATTAAGTTAAGATGATTTAACGGATTTAATTTTGAGTTTTTAGTTGATTTAAATCAGTCGATTCCCCTCCTTGCTTCGTGATTCCTTTCAGTAAATTGTAAATATAATCTGTTTTTTTTTCTAGTGTGTATAGTTCACTTAGATTTCTGTTGAATATCGATGTGTGGATACCAGTTTGATGAGATGAGTTTATGACAAAAATTCTTACATGGACACACATACCACATCATGCACCAGGAGACTGACACTAGTATCAGCATCCACACACACATACTTTTTCAAATGTTCGATAATAGCTTTGTTGAGAGCTACAAAGAAGTATAAAATAGAGAACGAGCCGAATATTTAGTAGAGAATAACGCAAGTTTACAGCGAGGAACGTTGCATGTTTTGTCGTATTTCCAATTTGATGAGATAATTGAAAATGAAAGTAAAACAAGAAATATGTCATCTATATTTCATAGAATAATGTTTCAAAAATTCGAAAGACGTCTTCATAGATCAGCAATATAATAAAAGACATGCTTCCAAGAAAGAGATGATCCGTAACATATCGAAAAACTAGTTTTGATTATTAAATGATTTTTATTAATGAATTAGTTGCAAAATCATCGAAGAATACCGACCCTTCTCATTCAATGTCTCCATCTTACTCATACATCTCTATCATCGTAAACAAAAAAAAAAGAGTTAAAAAAATAATTGTTGTTAACACAGTTGAGAAGTTGACTCAAAAAGGGTTTCTCGCTTTGTAACAAAATTCGATTTCTATGAAGAGAAAATTTCTTTCTCTTATTTTAATAATTTTTCTTGTCTCTATTTTAGACTATCCATTACGTTCTCCATCCAGCACCAACATTCATCCGAATGCTCGATGGCAACAAAATGGTATCACTGTAGCTGGAGGAAATCGACAAGGCAATGGAATCAATCAACTCTCAAACCCATGTGGTTTGTATGTTGATGATGATCAAACAATCTATGTTGCTGAATGGTCGAATCATCGTATTGTGGAATGGAAACGAGGTGCAACAAGTGGCCAAGTGGTTGCCGGTGGAAATGGACAAGGAAGTGGAGATCATCAATTGTATAACCCAACAGATGTGATTATCGACAAAGAGAGAGATAGTCTCATCATATGCGATCGTTCGAATAAAAGAGTGGTTCGATGGCCTCGTCGAAATGGGACAAGTGGAGAAACAATCATCTCCAACATCGCTTGTTGGGGTTTGACAATGGACGAGAATGGATCTCTCTATGTCACTGATGATGGAAAAGATGAAGTGAGACGATATCGAAGAGGAGAATCTCAAGGAACAGTGGTTGCAGGTGGCAATGGACGTGGAAATCGTCTGGATCAACTCTCTCGCCCACAATACGTATTCGTCGATCGAGATCATTCAGTGTACGTAACTGAATGGGACAATCATCGTGTGATGAAATGGATGGAAGGTGCAAAAGAAGGCATTGTCGTGGCTGGCGGTCAAGGAGAAGGAAATGATCTTACACAATTGTCATATCCTCGAGGAGTCGTTGTCGACCAATTGGGCACTGTCTATGTGGCTGATTGGGGGAATAATCGAATCATGCGTTGGCCTAAAGGAGCCACACAAGGAAGTGTCATTGTTGGTGAAAACGGTAGAGGAGAACAATCGAACCAACTCAATGGACCCATCGGATTGTCATTCGATCGACACGGTAATCTCTATGTCATCGATTGGGAAAATCATCGAGTCCAAAAATTCGAACTTCAATCCAATCCAAACTGAACCTTAAAACACAGACAATTGCGTTAAAAAAAACTTTCATAAATGACTCACCCAATTAACTAATTAACTAATGAACTAATTAATAACAAATAAAACGTGAATAACTCAATCTAAACTAATTATACTAAAAAATAAATCAAAATAAATGAACCTTAATTATATGTAAAAACACACATTCTATAATAGGAAACCGTAAACACACATAAAAAGGGAAACAACAATACACACCGGAGACCTGGCTGACTTTGCTCAAAACGGAAACCTTGGATTTTCCACGCCGATTCCAAGGATTCCATGAAAGGAAACAAACTGCGGCACTTCGAACATTGTAGATGATGATTACTTCTATTAGATTCCAAGGATTCCAAAAGATTGCAAAGTGAGAAGCCATGCAACTTTGGACCTCCAGAAAACCCTTATGGTCACCAAAGGACTTTTCAGGGATTATGAAGGATTCCAACGATTCCATGAAAGGAAACAAACTGTGGCACTTCGAATATTGTAGATGATGATGACTTCTATTAGATTCCAAGGATTCCAAAAGATTGTAAAGTGAGAAGCCATGCAACTTCGGACCTCCAGAAAACCCTTATGGTCACCATAGGACTTTTCAGGGATTATGAAGGATTCCAAGGATTCCATGAAAGGAAACAAACCGTGGCACTTCGAATATTGTAGATGATGATGACTTCTATTAGATTCCAAGGATTCCAAAAGATTCCAAAGTGAGAAGCCATGCAACTTTGGACCTCCAGAAAACCCTTATGGTCACCATAGGACTTTTCAGGAATTATGAAGTATTCCAACGATTCCATGAAAGGAAACAAACTGTGGCACTTCGAATATTGTAGATGATGATGACTTCTATTAGATTCCAATTATTCCAAAAGATTGTAAAGTGAGAAGCCACGCGACTATGGACCTACAGAAAACCCTTATGGTCACCATAGGACTTTTCAGGGATTATGAAGTATTCCAACGATTCCATGAAAGGAACCAAACTATGGGACTTCGAACATTGTAGATGATGACGACTTCTATTAGATTCCTAAGATTCCAAAAGATTGTAAAGTGAGAAGCCATGCAAGTTTCGACCTCCAGAAAACCCTTATGGTCACCATAGGACTTTTCAGGGATTATGAAGGATTCCAAGGATTCCACGAAAGGAAACAAACTGTGGCACTTCGAATATTGTAGATGATGATTACTTCTATTAGATTCCAAGGATTCCGAAAGATTGTAAAGTGAGAAGCCATGCAACTATGGACCTCCAGAAAACCCTTATGGTCACCATAGGACTTTTCAGGGATTATGAAGGACTCCAAGGATTCCATGAAAGGAAACGAACTGTGGCGCTTCGAAGATTGTAGATGATGATGACTTCTATTAGATTCCAAGGATTCCAAAAGATTGCAAAGTGAGAAGCCATGCAACTTTGGACCTCCAGAAAACCCTTATGGTCACCATAGGACATTTCAGGGATTATGAAGGATTCCAAGGATTCCACGAAAGGAAACAAACTGTGGCACTTCGCATATTGTCGATCATGATGACTTCTATTAGATTCCAAGGATTCCAAAAGATTGTAGAGTGAGAAGCCATGCAACTTTGGACCTCCAGAAAACCCTTATGGTCACGATAGGACTTTTCAGTGATTATGAAGGATTCCAAGGATTCCATGAAAGGAAACAAGCTGTGGCACTTCGGACATTGTAGATGATGATAACTTCTATTAGATTCCAAGGATTCCAAAAGATTGTAAAGTGATAAGCCATGCAACGTACGACCTCCAGAAAACCCTTATGGTCACCATAGGACTTTTCAGGGATTATGAAGGATTCCAGGGATTCCATGAAAGGAACCAAACTGTGGCACTTCGAACACTGTAGACGATGATAACTTCTATTAGATTCCAAGGATTTCAAAAGATTGTAAAGTGAGAAGCCATGCAACTTTGAACCTCCAGAAAACCCGTTATGGTCACCATAGGACTTCTCAGGGATTATGACGGATTCCAAGGATTCCATGAAAGGAAACAAACTGTGGCACTTCGAATACTGTAGATGATGATGACTTCTATTAGATTCCAAAGATTCCAAAAGATTGTAAAGTGAGAAGCCATGCGCCTATCGACCTCCACAAAACCCGTTATGGTCACCATAGGACTCTTCAGGGATTATGAAGGATTCCAAGGATTCCATGAAAGAAAACAAACTGTGGCACTTCGAATATTGTAGATGATGATGACTTCTATTAGATTCCAAGGATTCCAAAAGA